ATAAGAATTATTGTAAGAATAAAGGCAAGGCAGTCCATGCAGACAGTTGCCTCATGTCTAATGAGAAGCCCACAGATGCTATACTGGCAGTTAGAAAGGAAGGTTGAATCTGGATGAGGATAAGGGCCAACTAGGACCAATGGAGACAACTACTACCTACAAAGACTAACTAGAACCCACATCTGCCTTTCCTCACCTCCAACCTCGATGCCGTAGGTGATGTGTAGGAGAAGCTGGAACCTTTCACCATGAAGCTGCATACACACACTCAGTCCAGGAGTTGAGAAACTGGAGATGTGCCAGAAGCGGGAGTGTATTAGTTTCCCAGGGCTTCCATGACAAAATCCCACAAACTGTGTGGCTTAAAACAACAGAAATTTATTCTCTCACAGTTCCAGAGGCTACAAGTCTCAAATCAAGGTGCTGGCAGGTAGGGCCATGCTTCCTCTGAAGTCTCCAGGTGAGAATCCTTAATCCTAGCTTCTGGTGGTGCCTGGTAGTCCTTAGTCTTTCTTAGCTTGCAGCTGTATAACTCCAGTCTCTGCCTCCATTGTCACATGACATTCTTCTCTATGTGTTAGTATCTCTGTGTCTTCAAGTGGCCTTTTTATAAGGATATGAGCCATTAGATTTAGGGCCCATCCTGATCTAGTAAGACCTCATTTTAATGTAACTAGTTACATTTGCAAGGACCCTATTTCCAAATAAGGTCACATTCTGAGATTCCAAGTGGGTGGAATTTGGGGAGAGAAGGGACAACATCATTCAGTCCTGCACACAGAGAAACCTCAGTTGGGTGTTTCCCTGTGGCAATAAGTGGGCTAGCTGCATATCAGAGACAATATGCCTGGCAATTTCCACCAGATATTAAAACATTAAAAAAATAATTGGCAGTTGTTTCATTTCTACCTCCCAAATAGCATCCAAAATGTCTCTATTGACTGACACAGATCCAGAACGATACAGGAAGGGAAATTCTGGGAAATTCTGTCTTAGCTAAGTTGATTCAGTACAAAGCCACCACACAGTGAGAGTCTCTGAGGATTTTTTTTTTTTTTTTTTTTTTACCAGGGAAATGACTTGATGGAAATGTAGTTTTAAAAACATTGATCTGTCAGTAGAGTAGAAATGAGATTGGGAGTGAGGAAAGATTGGAGTCATTAAGAGATAATTTGCATAATCTAGGATAGTGGTCTCTAAACTTCTTTTTATTGTGCTTTTGGTAATGGTAGACTAGATAAGTGGGGCCAACTCTCTGGCTGAATACAACTTAAAAACTTGAATTAAAAAGAATCTTCTAAGTGTAAAAGAACTAATGAAATAATGAGGAATAACTGGGCCAAGATTGGGGAGCAGACAGAAATGGAAATCCAGAAATGAGAGCTGGGTATTTGAGGGCTCTTTTCCCTAGGGGAGCTTTGGAAGGTCTTGAAGAGGATGCTGAGCAGTGGTTTCGACAGCTCTAGGGACTAATGTGAAGCTGGTCCTGGGCTCAGGGTGCCAGGAGACTACCAGGCACATAGGGCTGAGATACCAAAGGAGGAAAGGGGCACCAAAAATAAACCTGCAGCCTGGATCAGCTTTGCCTGATCTGGCTGACCCAAAAAAGTTCAAATCCTGAAATTGGATTATAGGAATCCTGGATTACTACGGCTCTAAGGCCTGGCAGAAACAGATGAAGAAGCTCAACATCCCAGGCCTCCAATTATTTCTACAAAGAACCTTTCAAGTATAATTCCAGCACCCATACAAACATTTTTTAATTGTATGCCATTATTAGTTAAAAAAAAATTTTTAAGCACACAGTTTAATCATGTTTATTTGCTTATTTACAAAGATGAGCTAGAGATGAAATAAAATATTTGTTTTTATTTTTAACGGTAGGAAACAATTTTAATATCACTGTTTCATTTGCTAGGGCTGCTATAACAAAGCACCACAAACTAGGTAATTTAGAATGACAGAAATGTGTTCTCTTACTGTTCTGGAGGTTTGTAATACAAAACCAAGGTGTCAGCAGGACCATGGCCCCTCTAACTTCTCTAGGTCCTTCCTTGCCTCTTTTAGTTTCTGGTAGCCCCAGGCATGCCTTGGGTTGTGGCAGCATAAATCCAGTCTCTGCCTCCTCTTCACATGGCTACTATCTCTCTTTCTACCCGTCATTAATTAAACTAATTCCAGGTTTCCCCCACTATCTGAAAGTAGAACGTTCCTATGAAATCTTTCATAAGCTGAAATGGCATAAAGCAAAGAAGCAATTACCATTAATTTATATAGAAAAGAAATCGAATGTTTCCAGACCCAAAAAATCACCTACCAAATTATACCAAATATTCTTAATTATGTCCAGGTTTACTATATTATTAAGCATAACACTTTTATGAGCTCTCTTAGGCTTTCTGGTACCTTAGGACACATCTTGCTAACAGAAGCACAGAATAAATTGAGATAAAGCATAGATGCTCACAGATACAGTTCAAACCTCTGGAGGCTTGATGCTGAGATGCTGAGATGCTGAGTGCAGTTTCCAGGGAAGGAGCTTGGAGGTGCCACTCTTCCTGCTTGGGGCGTGCGCTGCCTCTGTGAGGGCTTACTGCAAGACACACACTGAATACTGCTTTCTCTTTTCCCTTTTATTTATAAAAGGAAAAACCTCTTCAGATTTTTTATGGTTAGTAAAAACAGGTACTAACGTAGGTATTTCGTAAAAGCAAAGTGGCAGAACACAAACTTTCAAAAAGCAAGAGATATTCTCTATCTGTAACAACCTATTTCCAAACAAAATCATTCTGAGGCACCAGAGGTGAGGATTTCTACTTTTCTATTCATGCGACACAATTCAACCCATCACCAACTAGTCTCCATTACTTAAAAAAATATTTTGAAAATGATTAATAGTTTGAGATTCAGCAGCTCAGTGGATTAAGTTTGGTTTATCTTAATACTTAATTTTAATGTTTGTCATAATTGTAAAAAAAAAAATGCCTCAAAATATTCCGAGATCCAAATGAAAGCAGAACATCACTGACTTTCTGAATTGTGATACAAGTTTTTTTCAATCACATACACTTACTGTACAAAGATATTTTTTTTTTGCTATGCAGCTAGGAAATTTCCATCTCTCCTGTGTTAGTTGTTCTTGAACACTAATTGGAAGGTGTTGCATTTTTATTATTTTTATAAATAGGTTAAAACTCCATGAAACTCTTTTAAAAAATTTAAACAAGTGAAAAAATTCTGGTACCAAGTTTGTGTGCAGATAGAAAACAAACACAGTTGTGTACTTTTTGACAATTAAGTCATATAACAGGTGACATGTTTTCAAAATATTCTTTCCATAGGGTACATTTCTTTCAAAAGCAACTACCTTCTCATTTATTGTTAAGATATCCTCTTTATCTTGAGGAAACAGATGAAATGTTTTAGGGGTTTTTTTCCCCCAAAATTGTCTTCTAAATAGTATGCTATAGAGAGCCTCTCTATCATTTCATTGCAGAAAAGGTCAGCAAACTTTGTATAGTTCTCCTCTGGCATGGACACTGTGATCTACCGCCTTAATGCATCCCCCTCAGTGTCAGACTGTGGCTCCAGCTGTAGGGAATGCTACTGGCACTTTGGGAATTGCCCTGCTTACACCCCTTCCTGGGGTGGCCCACATCCAGAGACTGATCTACACATGAATATAAGGATCTGGCCATCTCAGCCTAACTAAGGACAACTTAAAAGGGCCATTCTAGCTCCAGAGTTCTTTTGAGGTCAGCCAAAAAGTCTTTGGCCTGCAATGCAGCTGGACTTCTCCCTCTGCTTGGTCCTGCTTCCTTCTTTTCCTTCCTTCTACTCATGCTGAAACCAAGGGCATGACTTCATAATCACCCTGCAGGCTGTGTCTCAGAATTTCCTTCCCAAGAATCCAACCTACCACACTATCATTTGAGAGAGCGAGAGGAAAAAAAAAAGCATAATTTGTTTTTACATACTTTGTCAAGAGAAAACCAGAAAACTCCCATGTGGTACAAAAGGCTTGCCTGGCCAGTCTCATCATGACATTATTTTTAAAGTCTTGGTTTTACAAAATTAAACCTATCGAAAAGAACTCATAACAAGGAAACACCAATGCACAGTGATACACCAGAAGTGGAACTCTTCCTACGTCCTCAAGATACTTCCTATTATTCTATTTCACATGTGACCATATAACATATGGGCCAAGTGAGGGCCCCAGTTTCAATCCTTAGAGTAAATATTAGGTATGTTTATTCCCTTACATTTTAAAATAAATATACATTTGCTCATATTTAATTTTTATATTCTGATGAAAATTAATAAATAGAACCCTCATTTAAAAGGAGTCAGGAGGTTAGGAGAGAGAATTCTCACACATGTCACTCAACGCACACTACTGACCCCAACAGGAAGAGACACACCTTGCATCTCCAATGGGAAGTGGTCTTACTTTACTACTTCAGCTGGAAGAAGAAAAGATCCCTCATTGTCCAGTAACAGCTCAGCCAATGGGAGGCTACCATAATTCAGCCAATGAAAAGTCACTATACTTCAAACTTTTAGTTTCCTCCAATGAACTCTGTTTACAACAGCCCCTCCTAAGTCCATAAAAAAAGCAGTCCTCTCCTTTGTTTCTCTGGAGTTTTGAGAGATTCCCCACTTGGCAGTGTACATTGAATTGCAATTCTTTGTTGCTCTCAAATAAACCCATTTTGCTGGATGAATATTCATCTGTTAAAGCTCAACATTCTTTAAGTATTATATTGCACATTCTACTCATCTGGGCAAAAAGTCACAAGAATTAAATATAGAGTGTGGCAAAGGAAGAGCAGAGGGAGCAAGGCTATGAAGATGAGACCCATGAGTTGTCTGTACTGCCAAGGACACGAAAACAGCCAATGATAACATCCAGATTATTAGCCTAAGTGTCAGTGCCCTGAACGGATATCTTTGATTTGGGGAATAAAGTGTAACATTTGCCCTGCTGGATTTGGATCATGATTGTGGGACATCTGGATAAAGAAGTCCAGCAGGAAGATCTTAGTGGATGTCTGGAGGTTGTTCAAGAGAGCCATGGGACTCGAGCAGACATCTGCACAGCTGCGAGAGTTAAAGGAGTAATGAAAATATAAGAAGAGGACAAGGTCGAAGTAGTGTTTTAAAAATATTAGGCCTTAAAAAAAAAGGTATCTTGAAAACAAACAAACAAAAAGATTAGGCCTAGCAGTGGAGTTGAGGATATGTTGGCAAGACCTTAGGTTTTATAGGGGTTCTGAGCATGTTACCTCGAAATATGCCACTTAGGCATATTGATATTTTGAGTAAAAGGCACTTGCAAGAAGGGCACCCTGACCTCCTTTTTCTTCCTGAAAGCAGGAGATAAAACTCCGACCTGAAAGGTGTCCTCCCTTTGGCAGGAAGAAAGAAGACAATCTTATCACCAGAGACGGGGAGCTGAAGTTGAGAGAAATTGGTACAAACCAACCTTGTTAAACTAACCCTTATCTTCCTAGCCATGTCTCTATGATTAACTGTCCTCTGTCTTGTCATGTTTTCAGAATTTACTACTTTTTGTCCATCTAGAATATAAGGTTGGACTCTAATTGCTTCTTTGGGTCTTCATTTTTCTTGTGAAGGCTCATGTGTACATGAAAAATTACTAAATAAAATGTGTATGCTTTTTTCTTGGTAATCTGCCTCATGTTGGTTTAATTCTTAGGCCCAGCTAGAGACCTAAGAGGGTAGAGGAGAATTTGTACTTCACCTAGTCTCAAGGAGATCTAAAGGAGGCTGCAGGGATGCAGATATGCACTAGCTAAGTCCTAGACAAGCATAGGGAGGGCAGAAGGATGGAAAGGAGAGGATGGGTTCAAGAGATATCACTAAGAAGGGTGAGTTTTGTGACTAATAGGAGTGAGAAACCAGGGAAAAGGAAGAATTCAAATTTTCCTTTTAGAACTTATTTGGAAAAATATTTTTATTTCAAATACACTGTCCTACTCCCATTCTGACCTAATGGAAATCCACAAAAATATGGTTTAAGTCTTGGAAGTGGTTTGGTTAAGTTATAGTTAGTCGCTGAACACACACCATTTTCGCTATGGCAACTTAAACAGCTTACTATAGTAATAGATTTCTATCTACACAGATAGCAACAACTGTCGTGAGCAAGAAGGCACATGTGGCTGATACTCATGTCCTTTCTTGGTCTAATCATTCCCATGACCGGTAGATATTCAGTTTTAGACCAAATTTATAAAAGTATTGTAACTGTTTAGGTTAATTTGTTAGTTTTGTTTTTTTTTGTTGTTGTTGTTTTTTTTTAAGGAAAAACTAAACTATTTAGAACTTTAAAAGATACTATTATTTTCACAATTTAATAGTTTGAATATTTATAGTGGATATTGTCTTTGTCCTTTCAGACTGCTACAACAAAAATACCATAGACCGGGTAGCTTAAACAGCAAACATTTATTTCTTATAATTCTGAAGGCTGGGAAGTCCAAGATCAAGCAACTAGCAGATTCAGTGTCTGCTGAGAAACACTTCCTGGTTCACAGAGGTCATCCTCCCACTGTTTCCTCACATGGCAGGAAAAAAAGAGCTCTTTGAGGTCCCTTTTACAAGGGCATTGATCCCATTGATGATGTCTCCACCCTGATAACCTAAATACTTACAAAGTTCCCACTTCTTAGTGCCATCATATTGAGTGTTAGGATTTCAACATGTGCATTTGGGGAGGAAGGACAAACATCTAATTCATAATAGATATCATGTTTCTTTTAGCAGGTCAACCTATCTTATTTCTAAAGTACCATAACCACCTCTGCCTACCAAAAAATTGGGTAAAAATATAAGGGGGCGTGGGAAGAACACTGAGCAAAAAGAAAATAACTCCTAAATCATGTCATGTTTTCTTTGGCGATACACAGAATGATGTCTGCATCCCTCAATTTGAACAATAAAGCCCTGACTCTTATATTTCCCAGGAAATGTGATACTTTACTGGGTTTTTATTTTCTAGTACAAAAATTTTAATTTCTGGCAGAATCTTCCTCCCAGTATACATATAGAAAGTTAGTCAGCTGAGTAACTAAATTATTGCTGATCCATTTGAATCAAGCCTGAGGGAAAATTGTATTTGGGGATTACCAGAAATGCTTTCATTAGACTTAAAACTGTAGCTCAAGTCACCAATTTTAAGCCACTGCTGAGAAAGTACTTATCAACAGACTACTTTTCTACCTTATCAAAGAAATGTAATGTTAAGCTCAAACTTTGCACTGTAATGTAATTGAAGTTTGGCCAACAGTAGCTAATAATATCCGAGAGTAGTACTACTTGTTTACAATGTTAGCTCAATTAATTATCATTTCAATTCTATTAGGTAGGAACTACCATTATTTCCATTTTTTAGATGAGGAAGATATGGCACAATAGGGTTAGTGACTAGACCAAAATTACATAGCTAATAAATGGGAGAGCCTAGATGCAGACCCAGAGAGTCAGCTCCAGTCCGTGCTCTTAACCACTCCAATTCTGCCTGCTTAAGTGAGAGATAAGTGATTACTCAGGGGAAAATACTCCACCTTGCCTCCATAAAATTCCAAGAATCAAATATGTAGTTAAGTTGTAGAATGGGGGAAAAAAAATCAAACAACTGGCACCTATAATATGAATTCCTCCAGGAAGACATAGCAGGTCTTTTTGCCATCCAGCCTACCTGGGAGAAAAAGAAAGGGTGTTTCAAGTGAGCATAGTGGGTGTTCTCAGGGAACAATAAACAATCATAGATAGAACCTATGGAAGAGTGAGATTGGCAAAATAGACAGTGCCTAGTTATAGAAAGAATTCTACGGTTATGCTCAGGCATTAGGTTCAATTCTAGAGTCTAAGGGAAACCACTCTTGTTCTGTCCCATCAGTTATTCCTTCTCCAAATCCCAGAGCAGTAATTTTGTTTGGAAACACACAGGTGATGGTGTCCTGTCAGTAGCATCTACCCTCCACCCCCCATCCCCAATCTCTCTTTTCACCAGCTCCCATCTTTCTCAAGATAAGTAGAAGAGCAAAACTCCCTCCTATGATTCATAAAGGCCCTGTCTCTCCTCCT